ATTTAGACTCGGACCACACAGCAGGCTAAGGTTATGATAACCCGAGACAAAGGAGGGTGGTTCGAGAGGGTCAAAGATCACGAGTGTGAGAGGTTAGAGTTCAACTTAATATTGAAGGTTATGGGAGAGGAAAAAAAAAATCATCACAGCAGGGCACGCAGCATACCAACAGATGCAACAACAAACCTTCCAAGACATTCTCTGGGAATCGCTTCCCGTGATACCAATACGCTGAAAACCATGCTGCGACCATGTGTTGAACAAATATGCGTGGGAGAGAATCGCCATATGACAGCACGCACGAAAACCAGCTGCCGGGAACCCGTGCGCGACTTCTAACACAAAGCAGCCGCATTTCAAATTGAGAGAAACATAAGCCAGAATGTATTTGGGCATTTTTGCAAGTCTGAAAATGTCGCAATTACATCTGCAGGAAGTGGAAAGCCCACGAACAGCTTCCGCTCTTCTGGGAAGACATTCAACAAGATTTTGAGGCGTGTCTGCAAAAATCACAGTCCATGAGCATCCCAGGGAAGTTTGATGGGGTCGAAGTCTTTCAGTCGTGGTTTTCCACATGGTGCTTAGAAAACGAGTGGCGGAGCTATTCATCGCGTTGGCTGTTTCTCAACTGGCGCTTTTCTCCATTTTTTGACAGCCAAGAACCTGACATTTGCTAACTTCGATTGCAAGGGAGGGAAAATGCTAATTTATTTTTCTAAAATCATCTCTTAGCATTCCAGAGTTTCTTTAGATGATCTTGGCAGGAAACAATCAATCCTTAAAAAAAAAAAAAAACAATTGAAATAAAGACTAAAGGGATCTTGGGGTCTCACTTTAAAGCCTTCTTTCAACCACCTGTGTCAGATTTCTTCTTCCTGTAAAAAAAAAAAACATCTTGGGCTCGGTGTCCTCAGTGTGGATCATAAGGTTTTAAACTGGAACAAACCAGCAGCGCCTCCACAAACCAAGAGCGAAAGAGCACGGGGACAAAGAAAGTGATGCCAAACATAGATCTAGGGCGATGGCTGCAGAGGTTGTGAGCCATATTCGAACTCCAAGATGAAAGGGAGGCTGCCGAGCAGGAGGAGAAAGAGATGGGTAGTGTAGTGGAGGGAGTGGGGGCCGGTAAAAAGGGGCGAAATGATGAAATGGTACAAACACAAAAGTGGAGAAAGCTTTTGATGAGTGGGAATGTGAAAATGGTCCCCAAATCCATCAGTGTAACATGTTTGATGTTTTTTTTTTTTTTTTAATATAAAGTTGTAGTCCATCCGGATTTCATAATGCATGTACAAATGCTATTTGTCAGTAAAAGGATACACCAACGAGGTGGATCAGGGCGGCGAGGAACGAATGGAGAGAGAGGCTCAGTCAAGAAAGTTGGAGGCAAGACAGGATGTGAAATTGTCCGCAGCGGAGGAGGGGAAAGTGAGTGTGTCTGAGTGAGTGTGTGTGTGCGTGTGTGTGAGTAGGGGGTGAGGGCGGGGGGGTCATTATTGACACCATGTGTTACCCCAGGAAGCTCCTTGGCAAAATATAAGCATGTAGACAGATCAGAGAGGGGGGAAACAACATGGAGGAAAGTAGAAGGAAGGAGGGGGTTTGCAGCTGCAGGCCTGCATGTGCGAGTATGTGGCCAAGGGTCAGCGGGCGTCCATCTGTTGTCGGGCCTTCTGTGTTGCTAGCCACAAGGTCAAACAATCTAATCCCTAAAGTCTTAAAACCACAAGCCCACCTTTAAACGTTTTCGTTCAGAGAGGATCTCAAACGTGTCGTTATTAGCTCTCAGTAACTCGAAATATGGAGAGGTCAAATTGGAGCTGCCTGACAGTTTGCATTTTCCCCTTTCATTTTAGCTAAAATAGTTAAAACCCTTTGTCGAGCATACTGTGGAACCACTGAGATCCAGTGTATGAGCTCTAAATATGATAACTAATCAGCATTTGCGGCGATACAGTCTGGAAAAGAAAAATGAGTCAAATCAAGTCAAAACCGAGCTGACTCTCAAAAAAGAGTCATCAGAGGTGCTCGTATTGAAATAGCCCTCGAGTGTTTGGAAAAAGAGGGCTATAGGCTGAGCTACCCGCACACTCCACATTCAAACAGGTGAAGAGGAACCAGACAACAAGATGCTCTTTTCCTGTGAGAGCATCAAAAGGCTTGCGAAAACAGTCATGAGGACACCAAGGCCTTTGTTTGGATGTATTTTGGTCAGAATGGAATGGCAATTGATGTCAAGTGAAACTGGAGATTGTTTTCATGATTAATATGCATGCCAGAGTCGACAAAACTTTTTGGTAGCTCCACACTCAACTCAGACACTGTTTACACACGTGCTTCTGTTTTGGTAAGCAATGATGCTCAACTTGTCTTTGTGAACAATTGCATCTACCCTGAGATAATTAGTTTTTGGGGGGTTTTTTGTGAGGTGTTTGTTTTTTTCAGATGACGCATTCCAGTGAGACATCGGCGATCAGATTGATGGCCAGAGTTTAAGGAAATATCGGATATGAAACGATGCAGAAGGGGGGAATAAGTTCAATTGAGGCCATATTTTGGTTGCATTTCCTGACCGTGCATAGAATCAATAGACTTCAATTCCTTGTATGAGATTCCACTACTGACGCGGCGGTGCAGACTCAACACTCATGAAAGTTTGTTTTAGATGCGGCCTAAATTAACGAATGTGTGCCGACTTCAGTGGGGGCTGCTATTATTTTTCCAAAGTCTGTTTTCCAATTGTACAGGTATTTGCGTTCTCTTAGTAAACAGTACGGATGCAGGCGCCTCTGCCAACACACACACACACACACTCACGCACGCACAAACACGTACACACACACACGCAGACACACACGCAGACAGGCTTACTAATTCATCAAATCATGGCCGCCTTCTCTCTGTCTAACTAAGGCAAAGTAGAGGTGGGCAGAGCAGTTATTGTGTCCCTGGAAGAATTAACTATTGATTTTCTCCTGAGCATTATCAGTGCAGCTCTGACAACAAACCAGCTAACAGGGGTGTGTGCACGCACAAAAAATAAAAATAAAAAGACCTAGATTTTGGTCTGCAAAGGATGTGCTGTTTTTTTTTTGTTGGGCACAGGCCCAAAGGGAAAACGCCCAATCAAATATTAACATGTGACAACAGCTTACACACAAACAACGGTACATCAGATTTTTTTTTTACCTTGGCTCCTTAGTCCCCAGTATTGACACATCTTTCCAGCGTTAACACCCGTTTAAATTTAGAACCCACAGGAGTAGTATAATCCACACACACACACACACACACACACACACACACACACACACACACACACACACCCGTTAACACTCCAGTGTGAATCCTAATACTGTAGTTGGGGATAGATACCACTAAGTGGCAGTACAGCTTTTTCATAGTGCATAACATCACCTCTGTTACAAAATTTGTTAAAAAAATATTTTGCCCACACACACACACACACACACACACACACACACACACACACACACACACACACACACACACACACACACACACACACCTGTTAACACTCCAGTGACCTATGTCTTTGGCACAATGTCATTTATCACGTTCTCCTCATTCTATGTTAAGGGTCTGGGGGTGAGCCTACCCTTGTATTGATCAATCAATAGCTGTACAGTATACAGACTGACTTGAGTGCAATATGAAATATTATACATATAAGATATACATACACACATACGTAAATAAAATAATATAATGGTAACCCATGTCAGTTCATCATCAATTCACTTTTGTCCGCAGGTCAGCCTTCTCTATAGAATGAGGGTCACCAGAAAGGAATTCAGTATATTTCAATGTAGCTTCCTTGTTATTCCAGTTAAAGGTGAAAGTGCCTTGTAGACAACACAATGAGAGAAAAACTAAAAGGGGCACTCAAGTAAATAATTTAAAAATCATTCAGACATCCCCCCATTAAGCTTGAGACTCACTGAGGGCCGTGTGAAGTTTTATGTTTCTAAGCAGGGTTCAAGTATGGACCCAACCCTGAATGTCTCACAAATCAAGCGAGTGGAGTTGTAACGACTGCTCGCATGTCAAGCATCTAAGTAGGCCTCGCTCACCAATGCCGGCAACCCGTTCTGCTGCAAAAACCCTTCCAACAGGGCAACAATCAGGCACCAAGAAGAAAAATAAAAGATCTTTTGAACCTGTTCCGCTGAAAGGAGAACTGGGTGATTCCTATAATTAAAAATCAATATGGGAGACAAGGCTGGCTACTCTCCACCGCAAATGACAGACCTTTTACCGTTGGGTTTTCATTCGCTCTCATTTTCTCTGATGTTTTTCGATTGTTCTTGCATTCGCCAAATGCTTGAGCACTTTGGATTGCGTTAACTCGTACATGTCTTTTAATGCATCTTTCTATCTCAAATGGTATGCTATGGTGCGTCCTTCCATCATTCCCTCATTTTCCCCTTCACACTTATTTTCAAGAAAACATCAATTACTCGCAGTAAGTTTGGCTTTCCGACTCGAGAAAGTTTGACAGATTTCCCAATGGAGCATTCTATCAAACCCATCCAACTAAGCGTGGCAGCTTTCACATTAACAAAGCAGTCTGGGATCAACATGTTTCAGAGACATAACATTGAGATGGATCCGTCTCATGAAAATATTGATTTCTCTAACGGCCTGGAGAGGGAGGGAAAAAAAAATACTGGATTCACATCACATTTCCAATGATGCCTCTGGGGAACTCACAAGTCATGCAGCGCACCTTGGTTAAATTTGCATGAACACAAACTGATAAACACATCTGTAATTGGTTTGAAAATGAGAGGAGCACAACTCACAGCAGGAATCATCAAGCGGTGTTTTTGAATGTTGCTATAGCTATCGATTTCTATGATAGCCCGTCCGAGTTATCTTGATGACAATACACAGCGTGTAAAGAACTCAAAGCGCCTCGTGTGACGTAATCACGAACTAACTCTTGCGGAGCGACGGACAAACCGATAGACGCTCACCTCTTTGCTGCGCGTGGCCGCATTGCCATAGCAACGCGGCGAGGAGCACCAGCCCGGGCCGCGTCATGTTTGTCCCGTGTGAGGTTTTTGGAGGAGCCGGCGCGCCAATGTGACCAGGAGTTGAGGCGAACTTTGCACTCCTCCTCTTCCTCCTCCTTCCGCTCTCTCCTCCTTCCCCTCTTGGGCTAAAGGGAAAGCGGAGGGGAACATGTGGAAATGTTGTCCTATGCAGAAAGCAGAAGTTTTGGTCCAACTTGACAACTGTTTTAGGGCTCCTCCTGCTGCCCCGCACCACTCACCACACGCTGTTTGAAGCAATGATGCCATGGACGCAGTTGACAATGATTGTTGTTCTAATCAGGTGGATGACAAAAATGCTTTGGAAAAAAAAATCGTCAAAATATGTGCATGCATGCAAAATACGTGCTCTTAAAAATATGAGGCATAATCAACTTGGAGTTGTGGGCAGCAGGAGACCCAGTGTAAGTGCAACTAAGAAATTTCTGCCGTCTAGTGGTGAATGGTGATATTACAACTTAAACCACAGGCAACCCCTCCATATTTGCGGGTTGTCACTGGAATATTTGCAATTTTTCTCCGTTTTTCATATTTATTCCTAATTTGGATTTTTTTTACAGTTTTTCCCGGATTTTTAAAATCGTTTTGTTTTCAGATTTGACCTATAAAAGCAAGCACAATACGGATTTTACATAGCATTGTAATTTATAGCTATGACGTTTCGGAAAGCAACTCCACCTGTTGCTGAAACTAAATCTTAATCCATGAATATGATTAAATATATGACTTATTTTTATTCATTAATATTGTTATTGTTTAAAAAAAATGAGGGTAGATTTGGAATCAGTGCAAAAAAAAATCATTTAGAAAAGGTGACTTATGTCTCTGATTAACAAATGTGAGTAAAATTTGTTGACTCATGTCATCGGCCTTTCCCTACTTAAAACCTCCATACGCAAACCGTCAGGTTTTGGCAGTTCATGTCTCACAACAAATTGTCAAAAACACAAGAGCTGGTGACAAAGACAGCGGAATCCGAAAATTAAATCAATAAACTCGCACTTGATTTATAAGATTCTCAATGATGCAAAATTAACGAGGATATTCGCCACGCCCGGGCCAACAAGATCTTCTCCTCGCAGTATACAAATGCAAAACACAAATGACGTCTGTTTCAGTGCCAAGCAGAATGCCGCATTGGAAAGGCATTAGGCGTGCACCGCATTTCATCTGCTCCAATTGTGTTTTAAAAAAATGACTGAACAATGCGGTGGCGTGCACGCGGGCCGTACTTATAATCAAATAAAGCACGGACTGGATTGCATCCTTGTGCTCGTGTAATGCAAATAGCTTATTATGCTGTGAATTCTGAGGCGCGCTCAATTGCAGCACTCGTGTTGAAGTGTTCTTCCGCTGAATGACTGTAGTGTGATGGAACTGTGTCCCTGGCTCTGTAAGGATGACATTTGGTGGGTTGGAGGGAGGGTGGGGGGGAGTGGGGATGGAAACCAAGGCTGATAGCGCATGCACTGATGCTCCATTATTGAATAGATGTGAGGGCCAGGCATCTCGATTTTATGCACAGATTTTTTTTTAAACCATATTTTGCACAGAATTTGCACTTTAATGCTTCACTGTTCTGAACTTCTTTTTCCCACATTACAAAAAAAAACCCAAACAAACAAAAAAAGCATGTTTGGCTCAGTGAAGACTGAATTGTCTGTCCACAGGCGTGAATGTGGGTGTGAATGGAATTTAGTTTATTTATTTATTTGTGCCTTGCAATTGGTTGGCAATCAATTAACCGCCTGTAGCAGAAAATCAAAAGACATTTCACACCCCGATTAGCGCTGTTAAATTAATCCTTCCTTTTTCCTCATACGCATTAATTTAAACAGCAGTATATGGGACTTTTTATGCATTCAAAGTGTACAGTGGGCTGATGGTTATTCATTAAGTCTGGGTCAAGGTTCACAATAAATACACTGTAGGGGGTTATGTAAATGTAAAAACACACTCAAATAATACACTGTATTAAAGTGCTGATGGATTTAGTGCGTGCTGGAAGTCCCATAAATGGAGCACATTAAAAGTCTGACTCCATTTGTTGAAGGGCTGATGGATGACCTAAAATGTAAAAAAGAACAACAGTTTTATCTGGCATTTAACAGAAAATATGAATTTCCGGTGCTGGTTTATTGCTGCCAATATAACTCACCGTGTGCCAGCTTCATAAAGTTTTTATTGCAGGGCAAAAACGCTGCCAAAAAAAAAAAAAAAAAAAGCATAATCTTTCTCGAGCTCTTAAGGCAGCCATCTTGGGAATTGGATGAAACTCGGTTTGAATTCCAATTGCTTGTTAATGACTGAACAACACAACAGTTTGTCCAGTGCAGATAAGACACACAGACCTGGGGTAATTAAATACACTCACTTTGCTTGCAGGGCATTTCACAGGGGCTGCTGCTTAATGCTGAATTTGGTTCATCTAATGTTGATTAAGGCCACACAATATATTAAAAAAAAAACAAAAAAAAAACATAGTCACTCAAAAAAAAAAAAAAAAAAGAATCCCATAATAGTGAATATTTCATCTCATTTCGAATTATTTGGTTGATTCAAGAATTGCATGAAGTTTTCAAACTCCACACAGGATGGCCGCAGTCAGAATCGAACCCTGCACCTGGTTTGTAAATATAACCTACAAAAAAAAAAAAAAAAAAAAAAAAAAAAAACGCGCCTCCAGTTAATTAAAAGTAAAACCTGTCTGTTCCTGCTTGTGCCTAACTCATTCCCATATGGTGGGGAATTGTGCATGGAGCATATGCTCAAATTTCGGCTCGTGTGCTGATAGGGCAGCAATCGAAATCATCCTCCGAGGGAAGTCCAGAATGTAAAACAGAGCATATTTTGTGAAGGAGGTAAAGCGTTGGAACGAGTGATCAACATCGCATGGATGAATGGATCTTAAAGAACTCTCTGGCTGCAGTTGAAAGGAGCGTCTCAGATCTGCGCCTTCTTCACAACCAATGCGGGATTTCTGTTCCCCGGGTCCCTGCGGCTCGCTGTGATTGGGATCGGCTTCCAGGTTGCACACAGAGTAGCCAATTAGGAATTAACTGGCAGGACCACAGAGGGAAAGTAGAAGTGACAGAGGCAGGGAGGGTGGGTGGATGGTGTTTGGCGATGGCGATGGCAGGGGGTCATCGCGTCGAGTCGAGCGTCGCATTCCTCCCCGAGCCGCTTTCATCCGGAGCACTTCCGTTTTTCAACATCAAAGCGGAATGTGAGTGTGTGCACGTCTGCCTTGTGATGTGCTTCCACAGCTCTCGCAGCGAGGCCGCGCGTCGCCGTGTTCCAACATCCGAAACACGGACGCTCCATCAAAGCGGCGCCGTGTCTCCTCTGATCTCTCCCTCTTCCTCCTTCGGCCTCCCGCAGCCAAAAAGGTCGGGCCTGTCCTTCTCCCGCCTTCTCTCCTTTTCGCCTCCTAACTCGCACCTCCGTTCTCCGCGGCAAGCTCACTTGGTGACGTGCCAAGGCGCTCCTTCATCTTCCTCGAGCTCTCTGGGCCGGCTGCCAAACATATCTTCATCTAACTAACTCATCCTCTAAACAAATCCAGTCTGTCTTCATTCAACTCCTTGAACTTAATTGTTCCTCTCCTTTCCATCCGGATTGACATTTTTTTTTTTGCCCACTGCCTAACATCCGAGCATTTATAGCTTCCATGGTGATATGGTCTACTCTTAATTCCTTTCCCGTGTTTCTTGAACTTCATGACGACTTCATCACATTCGTCGGCATTCTGATTGACGTACCTTTACAACATCACTTTACATTTTTGTTCCATGGGTGTCTATGACAAACTGCCGGGTCCTTGTCGGATTATTGACCTTGCTCGCCGTTTTGCTTCAAGTTTGATTTTTATAGCCCTTTCGATATAATTCAGAGTGGCTCTCGTTTTTGCTTTGGCGGTGAACGGTTTGCAAATTTTTGGACGGCATCTTTGATTGGATTAACTCTGACGGAAGTGCTAGCTTAAATGTAGCATTTTGTCATCTCGCATAGCATGTATAGTCACACCCGATCAATGCACACAGTACATAGAAGTCATTTACTTTTCAAATATCAACATAGAATTCATCAATAACAGAAAGTAAAAGCACAGCACGTGTTTCGAAACGCTTATGGATCGATTCATCTGTTATCACTGTGGATTTTGTTTTTGACTAGGCAGACTGTAATCTAATTTTCACAGGCAAATGTATTTGCGTGTGTATTGGATGTCTTTTAGGGTCGTTATTTCCACTCCATATGATAACTTCGCACGGTTCTGCTGTGTGCAAATATATATCTGCGAGAGGCTTGTTCCGTTCACAAAAGTTATGTTTTATAATTGGATGACCATTTTAATTGCTGTATCCGCTAATTAGAAGATTGTTTATCTCTCGCCCCTTGAAAACTGTCCTATGGCTGAAATTTGCTTATGTTGTTAAACCCATTACGGTAATACACAATTTTCCATCAAGCCATATTCATTTATTTCAATTTGATTTGTATGCCATTTATTCTCTTCCTGGTCCGTCAGGAAGATTAGAATGTGAATAGCGCACCATTTGAAAGAGGCACTCTCTGTGTATGTGCGTGCGTATTTGGCGAGTGAGTAAGTGTCATGACTTGGCTCCGCTTCAACATCTTTTTTTTTCCCCCCCTCTGTACATGTAACCCACTGTGGGAGTGAAATGAACCAAGAAACAACTAGAAAGGGAAAGAAAAGAAGAAAATGGTTTCATGTCTTTATCACACTGGTTAAACCAATGAAAATATGAAAGCGAGAGAAATATGATGAGGGGCACGGATGCGGAAGAGCAAAGAAAAATTAAACAGTGTCAAGGGAACACATTATTCAAAACCTGTTTTTACTCTATCAGGATGAGGTCAAACTACTTGACACTTTCGGGCAAATTGTTTGAAAATGATTAAAAAACAAGCAGTCATTATCACGGTCTAAGCTTTGTTTATTCAATTTTGTTTCATAGTCTTGATTTCTTTTCTGTAACGGCATAATATATTTGTTTGCCTCTTTGATTGCAAATCAATTAGCAATCCGTTAGGAAGCATACACACACAATT